CCTCAAACTCACAAACATCTGCCTGCCTCTGCCTCCCGAGTGCTGGGATTAAAGGTGTGCGCCACCATTGCCTGGCTAGAAAAATCTTTTTTTTTTTTTTTGGTTTTTCGAGACAGGGTTTCTCTGTGGCTTTGGAGCCTGTCCTGGAACTAGCTCTGTAGACCAGGCTGGTCTCGATCTCACAGAGATCCGCCTGCCTCTGCCTCCCGAGTGCTGGGATTAAAGGTGTGCGCCACCATTGCCTGGCTAGAAAAATCTTTTTTTTTTTTTTGGTTTTTCGAGACAGGGTTTCTCTGTGGCTTTGGAGCCTGTCCTGGAACTAGCTCTGTAGACCAGGCTGGTCTCGATCTCACAGAGATCCGCCTGCCTCTGCCTCCCGAGCGCTGGGATTAAAGGTGTGTGCCACCATCGCCCGGCTTAGAAAATCTTTTTATACATATATTTGACAAAGAACTTGTTTGTAAATTAGAGCAGAAACTCTTACACACCCTTTAAAGAAAACTGGATAAAGGGCTGGAGAAATGGCTCTGTGATTAAGAGCACTGGCTGCTCTTGCAAAAGACCCAGATTCAACTCCCAGGACCCTCATGGTGGCTCACAACCATCTTTAACTCCACTTCCAGGGCATCCAATGCCGTGTTCTGACTTCTTTGGGTACCAGACATGCACCAGTAGACATGCAGACACACAAGTACAACATTCCTACACACAAAAGAAATCTAAAAATAAAAAGGAGGCAGAAAGAGCGACAGGGACACAGGACAAAAACCAACACCATATTGATGAGGGCCAAGCACAGCGCAGACCACCCACATGTAGGACAACAACTTATCAAGAAAGTCAAGAGTACACCCAGGGACACCAGGGACACCTGCAGAGGGGCAGAGATTCCAGAGGAGCAGTGGTGCCAGCACCGAATTCAAATGCATGTGTTACTATAGGGAAGCCACGCCTCAAACTGGCTTAACTGGCTGGAGAGATGCTCAAAGGTTAAGAGTGCGCATGCTCTTGCAGAGAACTCCTCTCAGGTCATTCAATGTTGCCTGGAACTCTAGCTCCATGGTGACCCGATGCCTCTGGCTTTTCATGCTAATGTGCACATAACCACACAGAGAGACACACAGATACACATAAAATAAATCAGGAAGAAAATAATAAAAATTGGCTTAAGGTGATGGATGTGGAAGTTTATAGTTATAGTCCCAATACTTGGGAGGTTGAGGCAGGAGACATAGGCCAGCAGGGCTACACAGTAAGACCCTATCTCAACAAAACGGAATAACTGCCTAAAGTGGAAATCTCAGGATTCAAGAAAGGAGGCTATGGGGAAGAACCCCGCTAAATAAAGCCAAGGCTAGACCAACCGAGGAGGCACCACAATAGGTGTCCAAAGAACCTCAGGGGAGCCATATGGGCCAGCACTGCCTTTACTTACCCCAGCTGCAAGGTATTGTCTTTAATCGGGAAGCAGATCCTCCTGCAGCAGCCAGCAGCACCCCTACCTATGCTAACTTTCCTTCTTGGGCCCCACCCTGTGAAACCAGTGATAATTGGGTCCCTCTATGGGCCAATATGGGCTCAGACTACATGTCTCTGCCCAGGTCAAGAGTGATCAGTGGGGCGTCTGCAGACAGCACCCTAATACAGCCCCCCTCTTTTCTCTTGGGTGGAATACTCTCTAAGAGGCACTATGCCCCTGAGCCATTCAGGAGAGTCTTTCAGTAAACTGTGTATCTTACTAGGAAAACTGGGATATGGTGAGCAAGACTACCCAGACAGGAGCCCTCCTCAGCACACTGGCTCTGTGCAGGCCTGGGCAGTCAGCCAGTTCTATGGTAGCAATCTGCTATCGCTCCCCTTTCAAACCCCAAGCACCACCTTGTGGGTTTCTCTTGGTAAGCAGAGTCAGGGTAATCATGTCACTATGTGCTGGGCAAGTCCCAACAGTGTCCATCCACGCCAAGGAGCGCAGACAGTGGAGACAGCGGGAGAGCGGCCACAACTCCCCAACTTTATGCAGTCCTCACGTGGTGATCCACAGACATGGACACCAATGCTTCTGCCTCATAGAACAGTCAGGAGAATGGGCAGAAGCCAGTCGCAGGTGCCCTTGGAAGGAAGATGGCATCAATGCATCTGCAGGGCTTTGTCTCAGACTTCTAGAGAGCAGCAGCTGGCAGCAACATCTGAGATTTTCCAGGGTACAAAGGAGTTGGCCTTGCCATCAGTGCCTACTGAAGGGTTGGGGGAAGGCACAGCATGGGGAGCTCAGTGACCTGGGTCAGGATTTCCCATGGGACAGGACAAGGAGGCCTGCTGGAGCTGGTCACTGCCATGCTCTCTTGGTCTAACTACCCTAACCTTCATCCTGCCCTATCATAGAAACCTCCTTAAGTTGGCATGACCTTGACCTGAGCCACAGCTCAGTAACTATGGTTCCCAGAAAGTGAAGCAGCAGCATGCCTGTTTCTACCACTATGGGGTGGGGGGGATGCAGCACAGATTTACCCCAGAAGATGAACAGAAGGCCTTGTGAGTAAAACCTGAGCACAGCCAGGTCCCTTGGTCTCCCCAGACCAGATCTCACACTGCCCAGCTGGGTCTGTGGCTGTGACTAAGAGCCTCTCACTCTTGGGTCACACAACCCAGCCCAGCCTGGAGCCCTGAGAGCTCAGATAAGCTTCCTGTGCCAGGGAAGGAAGGACAGGGTCGTGGGGAGGGAGGAGAAGGGAAGTGGCTTGGCTGTGGCTGTGTCTGTATCCTTGACTATGTGGGATCCAGGACTGGAGCATCAGTCTCCTGCTCTTGAAGCTCTGGCCACTGCGGCACTGGAGGCAGACTACTGACAATCTCTCTAGCTTGGGGAGCACGGCTCCAAGAGTGTGCAATTGTGTGTGCTTTACTCCTGGAGAGTTATTACCCGCAGCCCAAAGGGAGTGAGTGGCACTGGAAATCTTCTGCCTGTCTTCTCGTTCTCTCTCTATGACTGCGTGTCTATCCCAAGTGCCCACTGCCAGCACAGCAGGGCCGGGAGCAAGTTCCTCTGCCCGCTGCCCTGCTATGAAAGTCTAGGGCACTAGAAGGGTTACCCTCTGTAGGCTGAGATAAGTGGGGTGGGCAGGAAGCAGAGACGGGTATCCTGCTGTGTAAACTGAGACAGTCATGCCTGGGAGGGTGGAGCTCTGTCCTGGTCTTGCTTCTAACAGCAATGCCTGACAACTAAGATCAGAATAGGAGTCAGAGGGAGGGGACAAAAGTGGCTCAAGGCACAGCAGGGCTGAGTTACGTGGGTGCCGCATTATTTAGTTAAGACAGGGTCTAATGTAACCCAGGCTGGCCTTAAACTCCCTATGTTGTGAATAACCTTCAAGTTCTGAACCCCCTGCCTCCACCTCCTAGTGCTAGAATTACGGGGTGGATCATCACGCTTGGTTTTAGAGGTGCTGTTTCGAGAGGTACAGCAAGGCACACTGCGAATGGTTCCTAAAGAAAAGGGTGGCGAGGGGGGTCCTAGCAGCCATTACATACACACAGGACACACAGTGGACAGCAGACTGTGGGTCCCTGCACAGCACTGGCCAGCCCCTCCCTTGGGAAACTGAAGCCAAAAAGACTCTTCGTAGGAGCACCTTGGAACAGTCCCGAGCACGGCAGCTCAGACTTCGGCATCTTGCCTGAGCAAGGAGCAACGGGCGACCAGCTCCCAAGTGGTGGGCACAAGTCTATCCCCAGACAAGGCCAGACCCAGGGAGCCTGCAGCTCCATGGTCGGTCAGGGCCAGGTCTTCCCTACCTGCTCATCCCATGGCTCGCTTCCCAAGCACGCCCAGGGTAGCAACGTCACCACCAATAACCTAGATTTTAACCAAGAAATCGCACACCCCCTTCTCTGCCCCACTTACGGGCCTGCTGAGGAGAAAGACACAAGGAAACCTAGAATGTACACAGGGGCCAACAGAGCAGGGCCGGCCTCACGGCCTGTTTTCCCGCACACCCCATCACCACAAAATGGGTCAGGCAGGATTCCCTCCTGATACCCAAGCCCCACAGAACAGCCTTGGAGAGATCTCTGCCCCACAGCCCCTAAAACTGAGAACTGTCTGTGAACCAAGAGAGCTGAAGTGTTCCACTCTGCAGAACCTTCCAAGGCCACTGTCCAGCTGGCTCCTCAGAAAACTTGTTGAAGCAACTGTCCCTGTGCAGGCAAGGTTAAGGAGTCTGACTGGTCAAGCATCGAAGAGCAAGTTTAACACATGGATACGGCATACATTTTGCTCTGTTCCCACTCTCCCAAACTTCATAGCCAAAGCTACCCCAGGAGGCACGGGCTGTACAAGGATGGTCCTGAGGGACGAGTGAGGTCGGACCCTTTCCTGGCTCTGTGGAATCCCAGAGAGCAGACCCCCTGCAGAGTTGTGTTCAGCCATCAGTGTGGTGTGGAAAAGAGACTAAAGTAACAACTCCTACACTACAGAAACTGCCAAGCCTTGGGGTTCGGGAACCAAAGGTTTTTGGTCCTTCCCTGGCCTCCTAACCAGTGGTCAGCAGGGGTGGCGGACCCCATACACTGGTGGTTTCCCTGGAGCTGGCCTGTCCACCCTGACCAGTCCAGTGGCTAGCATGTATCTTGCTATCAGGAGAAAACCAGCTACAGTCCTCACCATGAAAAGGAAACAGAAGTTATCTATGCAGATCCAGAAAGGCCAAAGCCCAGTTCTGAAACACTTATACAAAAGTGCAAAACTCATTAAAGCCGAAGGGGACTCCTGGGCCAGAAACCTTTAGCTCCTTCACTTGTTCCATGCCAGGCAGAAACTCTCTGCACACTCACCATGCTACTACGACTCTGGCAGACTAGTGTCCATCACCTCCTGCCTAACTCTCCCAGCCCACACCCCTTGCCTACAGCACAGTGATTCTACACCAGGTTGCCATCATCATACAGGCCCACTATGTAACACGCCCTCTGTAGGCTGTTTGCCAGGCCCTGCCATGTGTTACCTGCATAGTTTCCTGTGGCCTTAATGTACATCTGGCCGTACTGCTCCTCCACCATGGTATCATAGGCCTCGTCATCCTCCTCATCCTCCTCGTTGTGGTAGGAGGTGGGGCTGTCAGTGGTAGGTAGGCTGCTGGCCCCAGGACTGGTCCGCTCACCCTGGGGATAGGGTACCTGCTGGATGTTGGGGATGAGAGTGGCCAGGCTTGGCACACCATAGTAGGAGACTCGAGGCAGCTTTAGAGGGGCTGTGCCAGGCGTCCCTGCAGCACCTGTAGCTACTGCCACACCATCTCGAGGGCCCGTCTCCAGTGGGCGCTTAGAAGCCAGGCCCGGGCCAGTGGCAGGCGGCATCTCCATGGCTTCATGCTTTACACGGGTCAGAAGTGGGATGGGCACGGAAGGGGATGCGACATAGGCAGCAGTGGCCGGTTGCAGCTGGTTGCAGGGACTCTGGGGCTCTGAGCTGGCATCCTCAATCATGGCGGTCTGCGAGTCACAGTGGGGTGAGCTCACCTTGAACATGAGGTCTGTGCCCCGCTCTACGATGTGCTGGATCTGCAGGAAGCCTGCTGTGTACATGACCACAAGCTGCTCACTGGCCGCCATGGTGAGCTTGCCCGTATAGCAGAAGGACAGAATCTGCTGGAAGCAAGCAGGCGGCACAGTGCCTGGCAGCTCGAAAGCACTCTTGCTATTACCACTGAAGAGGTCTCGGAAATAGAGGCTGCTGGCGGCCAGGACGGCACGGTGGGCCTTGAAGGCCTGGCCCTTGACCACAATGGACACATCACAGTAGAGGCCCAGCAGGCGCTGCTCATTCAGACAGCCAAGCACTGTGTTCCCGAAGTTGGGGATCTCGATGTGCAGCATCTGAGACATGGCGGGTGCCGGGATTGGGTGGGCTTCAGACTCAGCGTGGGGCAGACTGGATGAGGCACATCTGTGGGGGTAGAGGACATTGTGGTCAATGAACTGCCAGAAGCCCCCATCCCACCTAGTAACCAGCTCCCAGCCTGACAAGGCAGAGGACAGTGCCCTGCTCAGGCACTCTCCCTAGCTAGAACCCCCCACACACACACACACGCACACACACACACATACACCAAGGGCTTGGGGGTGAGCTGCTCAGAATCCAGATCCTGGCTTGGAAGCAGGACCGAGATCCTGAGTCCCTACACAAGTACCTCTGTCACCTACCCCATCCTCAGCACCCATGGACTGCTCCCAACAACTGTGAGGGGAGGGCTTCGTTCTCCCATCTCAGCAGAGGACACCTCACAGAGGCCTGAAGCCTCCGAGAACAAGACAGGAGTGAGCTAGACAGACAAGTCACCCACTGGTTGTGATGGGAGGGGTAAGAACAGGACGAAGCCCAAGATTGATCTCAGGGACTCCTCTCTAGAGGGAAAAAGTTCCTTCTGAGCCAAGAAGCCCCTCACTGCACTGCCTTCCTTGGGAAGAAGGTCCCAGAGCAGAGAGAGCTTTAGTTTCAGGTTTGTTTTCTCTCTTTGCCTGCTGAGCAGCCTGCGGAGGGCACTCTGAGGAACTGCAGAGCAGCTGCCCTCCTCCCACATCCCTTGCTCAGCTTCAAGCTTCCTCTGAGGGACAAGGAGGGACGAGGAGCATTAGGAAGGTGGACTAAGGCCGGGAGAACTCTGTGGGCTCCTTCCTCCACTCTTCCCTTGGGGACAGACCTCTTATCTGCCGGGTGGAAGGGCTATGGTGCACTCTGTGCTTCCTGGCAGCTCTCTGGCTCCCCAAACCCGGACCCAGGTCCTGAGCGCCCTCAGGGATGCAAAAGGAGTTGGCGCTTGTCGCAGAGCAGCCTCACGCCTGTGCGCCCTCCCTCCGCCCCACTTCCAAAACTGGCCAATCCCTGCTGGCTTGGTCCCAGCCCAGGTAACTAGAAGGGTCTCAGGATTAAACCCGCCAGGGGGCAGGGGTGGGGGCAGGCTGCCACTGTTTATCAGCACAGGACACTGCTGATGGCGGGTGGGGGTGGCCGGAGAAGGCTCAGGCCCTGGCCCAACTCTGCAGAGCCGCACAAAGGGCCGCTGTGTCCCGCGGAGGAAAGTGCGGGCGGCCGCAGAGGCGGCGGGTGGCTGGAGAGGAGGGCGGAGCCACCCTGCGCCAGGAGTTGGGCAGGTGGGCGCAGCGCCGGGGCGTCCCGCAGTGCCCCCGCTGCAGAGAAGTTGCTGAGCTGGCCCGCAGGCATCAGCCAGAGAGGAAAGACCTACCTTTAGCGGCTGTGGCCGGCAGCAGACACTGCCCGCTCAGCCTGGCAGCAGGCTCCCGCACGCCGGCCCGCCAGCTGCTCGGGGAATGCAGCAAGGAACCCTGAGGTGGGGAGGGTGTGAGGAGCCCTGCAGGAGGGGTGGGGGTGGCAGAGAGCTGGGCGCTGGGCTAGGCGGCCGCAGCTCAGCTGCACCCAGGCCGGCTCTCCCGGGCAGCGCACAGCATCTCAATGAAGCAGCCGGATGCAGACGAACATCCAGGCAGCTCTCGGGAATGAATAGCCGCCTTTGATTTGGGAGCTGAAGTAAATGCCAGCTCCCAGCCCCAGCTTTAAAAACAGTGGCGCGTTGGTGCCAGAGGAATGCACGGCTCCGGGTGTTGGTGCAAGACAGACTTTTGATGACTCACTGCAATGCAAACAAAGATGGCAGAAATACTGTACTGTACGTGGAGAAATGCTTCGTGGTGCCACGGCAACTGAGACAGCTTGGAAATTTATAGTGCAGTTTTGCATATGAATTACCCAGTAAACTGCCTCTCTGCCATCCTGTACAGACCCAGTGTCAAAGCATTTAAACTATTCCAAACAGTCTGCAGAGCTGGCAGAGCATCTAGCTTAACTCTTCCTGGGTAGCGAGAAGCTGGGCAGGAGGCAGGGCAGGGGGGTTAGGGAGTGAGGAAGGATGGATGGCAGAACCAACGTGGGGAAGGGGTTCAAGCTCAGCCAGGAGAGGGGGGAAGCAGGAAAAGAGGATGCCAGAGGGGTCCTAAAGAGGCACAGACTGGGAAGGGGCAGGACTCTGGAGCTATCTCCCCCACTTCTCCTGGGGCCTCAGAGCCATGTACCTGAGTACCCTGATGAGCCACAATAGGCCCTGTGGGTCCAGAACTTTGCCACCAGCCCACCCCCATCTTCTTATCCCTGAGCGATTCTTTAAGAAAGGAACAACTCTGTGGCCAGGCAGACCCCTGCAGAGCTGAAGCCTGCCTGCTTTTTGGTCTCCCTGAAACACATCTTGGAAAGGAAGACCAGCTATGCAGCCTGTCTAAGGTGTCTCTCTGCCCTTTATGAGGTCTTTTTCTAGGAAGGCGCAGCCACGCTCTGCTTGTGCAAAGGGTAGGCACCTCCTAGAGGCTTACACCATTTGCTTAACTGCAAGGGCCTTAGGGAGAGCTACAGACACAGCCGACATCAATTTCTCTCACCTGTCACTAATGCGCTTCCAGAAAAAAAAAATTCCACCTGCAAAACTGGACAGGGTCAAGGTATCAACGGTGATGTCTACTGAGCAGTGCTATCAAGGTGACACAGGCTGGAAGGAGGTGGCGGCATTAATGGTCCCTCATTCCCAGTGTACCCTCCAAGGCACCAAGAGAACAAAAAAAGAGCCATCTGGCACCTCCCTATATACACACTGTGGGCTCCAGACAAAAAGCCGCTGAACAGAGATGGGAGGAAATCCAGGTGTGGAAGCTGCTAGCAGCTCAGCCTGCAAAGCCCTCCAAGCCTTTCTCCAAATCTTCTTTGCCTCCTAAAGGAAGTAATGAGGACCCTCGGGATGGCCGTGAGGCTCACTGGGACTTCGAAGCTATTAACTAGTGTTCAGGCCGACTGAAGGGCTGTTTCACAGCCAGGAGATTCTGGGTTTTTACAGGGTCACTGCTGGGCCATATCCTACCCAGAACAGACCCTCCACTTTCCTACTTAGGAAACCTAACAAGTAGGCTTATAAGCCCATCTCGGGCAGGCCTAGGTGTGCTCAGGGCTGTATGGGCCACTGGCTAGCTGCTGGGCCTGACTAGAGAGGGATTTTGCTGCTCAGAGACACAGCACAGAAGACAAAAGGGCTTCAGCACCCACCACAGGCAACCCCAACCAACCAGAGGCTTTCCTGAATCCTCGCCAGGGGGACAGAAGCCAGCAAAGCTGCACATTACCCAGCTCCAGTAGGGTCCCAATACCCAGGGCTAAGCTGATCAGTAACCAGGTACAAAGAATCAGAGGACACAGAAAAGCTCCTGGGATCAGCCCCTGCCTGGCTTGTGGGCCAAGTTGAAATTCTATGTCCTGCCAGCATCAGCCATTTCCTACGACCTGCAGTCTCAGGTGTCAGCTGTGCACTGGGGGTCAGGGTGGACTCTGGGGAAGTTACTGAGCACGGTATGAGAGCGACTCTGTAAAGACCGCCGCGTGGGCCCGCTACCGTGTAGACTGACGATGTCTACAGTTCGCTTTGACCTGAGCAGGTGAGGCATTTGTGTCCATACCTCAGGGGCTGGTGCCCAGGACCTGGGCCAGTCCGGCTCACGTAGAAAGGGGGCCATTATTCTCCCAGAAGGTGATGAGGCCAACCTGGTCCCCAGGGACTGAGGACAACTGGCTCCTTTGCTACCTTGTCCTCGGGTCACCTGTGCTGGCAAGGCTGATGCCTGCACCCAGCCTGCGAGAACCAGACCTGGGCTGGTTTTAGGTTGCTTTCTTAGAAGCCTTGGCTGGGGCGAAAACAAAGCTGAACTTTAGGAGAAAAGAATCAAATAAAGGCTTGGCTTACGCTCCAGAACCGTGAAAGTAAGACTCGCCAGGGCTGACCCCAGGCAGCTAGAGGATTGGGAGCTTTGCACCTAAGTGGGCCAAAGGGCGGCTTGGTGGGAAGGCCAGCTGACTCCAGCAGCAAGGCCTCCTCTCTCTACACTCACCCTATGTAGTGGTGTCCGGCTGTGCACTGCAACCTCTGGACTCTTCCGGAACTCAGTTTCCCTCCTTGACCAGCAGGGCTTTCTACGGTGAGCTCTGCTATATTCGTTTGCTTATGGAAATTTCTAGACTCAAGCAGTAAATTGGCAGTCTTTGCCTTTGCTTATCCCATCCATCCTCACGGTGCCTGCACTGAGAAATGATGTCTGCATAACCACCTTCAGGACGGACCCCCACCTTGGGAAACCCATGAAAACATCCCAAAGCCAAATACAATCCCTACTGCTAGTCTCACCTTTGGTACCTTGCCCCATATAGTAGAGGCTCTTGGGAGTTCCCAGAAATCTCCAGAATAGGAGATGGGTGAGGTCTTTGTAGATAATTCCTCAAGGGAGACTAAGGTCCTTGAAAGTGCCAAAACCAACAGGTAGATGTGGAAAGCAAACTGATGGAGGGAGGGGGGGAATTAGGGACAGAGGTGAAGGTTCTAGAACTACATCCAGATACACTTGCACACAGGGGCCAGGCAGTGTATCACCAGAGTTCAGTTCCCAAGCAGAGGAGATTCATTCATGTCCAAGGAAGGATCCCAGTGAGAACACAGATTTCATCAACACAGCACTCCAGGTATACCCAGGTCTCAGAACCATGCCTCTGGGAAGCAAAGGCACAAAACATCTGGCAGGCACAAAAACCACTCCAAGGATATCTCCAGGGACAGGGCAAGTTCACCAATAGGCACAGGCCATCCTTCACAACATCCCCAAACCAGTGTCAGCTCCAGGGCCTGGAGGTCCTGTCTCGAATCTGGCAGAAACCCCTCCATCCCACCAAGGACTCTAGGAACTTGCTAGACAGTGGCACAGCACTGGGAAAGATGGTTCTTGGTGTGTCTGCATGATGGCTACCAGCAAGGGAAGGAAGGAGAGAGAAATTAAATTAATTTGCAGGATTTAATTTTATCAATTTAATAAGAAGTTCTGGACCTCAACAAACACACAGGTACCACCACACAGTTGCCAAGGAAGGAAGAAGGTACCGCAAGGAAACCCCACCCAGGCAGTCTCACCATCCCAGTCAGGCCAGAAGCACCAGAAGATTTGTACAAGGCAGCAACCCCAGGAGGGACTGCAGATGGAGGCTACCAGAGGACATAGGCAGGAGCATGTGGGGTTCCAGGAACACAGCCTGGCATGAGCTCAGTGAAGACAGCAAAGAACCCCTTTCTGCTAGGGAAGGGAGTCTGCTTCCTTCCTAACAGCTGACTAGGCATGCCATCACCAGGGAATAGCGAGGGGAGGGGGGGGCACCAGATCTCTGGGTTAACCCTCCCAGGGTCCTGGCTGCTGGCTTGGGAGTGTTCAAGTCTCCAAGAGCTGGGTGAGGCACCAGGTTGGCCCTGAGGTTTGCATTAAACTTTTAAAACGCCATCAGGCAGAGCTGGGCTGCCCCCGGCCTTGCTGCTAATGGAAGCTTCAGCATCTCACACAAGGCAAGTAGAAGCAAGGGCTGCAGAACGTGGTCTTGGCTGCCAACGCCCCTTCCCATGCATGGTGCTCATGCTAACTGCATATGCTGCTTGCTTGCCCATCTGAACCCCTCTAGATGATCCAAAGGAGAAGACTGGGATCACAGACCAGGGAGCCGCAGGCCCAGAGCCTGAGTCCTGGACATCTGATTATCAAAGTCCCTGGCTTCCTACTTTTGATATCCAGGGTTATAGGAGTCTTTGGTCACCAAATGACAAGAGCAAGGAGGTGAGGTCTGGTCCTGCTCAACTGACTGGATTCTGGGTACCAGAGCCACCACTGCATAAGGGCCCCAGGGTTCTGTCACTAGAGGAAAACATATCTCAGCCTCCATCCTTGGGGAAAGAGAAGAGGCACAGGGATCTCCCCAGCTTTGGGTCACAGAAGAGGAGGCAGTTCCAACCTATGATAGGTCTCTAGCTCAGGTCACAGAAGAGGAGGCAGTTCCCCAACATATGATAGGTCCCTAGCTCTGGGTCACAGAAGAGGAGGCAGTTCCAACATATGATAGGTCTCCTTGGAGAAACAGGGAGGAACCACATAAACCCCTTTAGTGAGGCTCTTTCCTTCAACAAGTCATGAGCAGCCTCCACCCCAGACCACAGGCCTGGGCCATAAAAGCCTGTTTTAACTGCACAACCCAATGTTTGCCTGGAAGCTTTTTTCTTCCCTTTCTCTCTCACGCTCTCTCTCTGAAGGAAAAGGGAGACAAGCCAATTCAAAAGTTGGCTTGTCAATCTTTTCCCCCTTGCTGCTCTTTGTCAGTCCTTAGGGAGGACAAAACCAACGTGTGTGTGTGTGTGTGTGTGTGAGAGAGAGAGAGAGAGAGAAAGGGGGGGGATTTGAGCTGCAACCACCCACACCCAAGGATCACAATGACAGGCTTGCTACTACTAACGACAGTCAGTCTTGTATCTGACAGCACTGGGCCTTATGGGTAGTATGGCCCAGTAGAACCTTACAAGCGCAAGGACAGCACAAGCAGACACCTTCTAATGTCCACAGCTCGCCTAAGGCATAGTCACCTGTCCCAAT